GACCGTTGCATAAGAACACTTTTATTTTAAATATAATAGATAAATAATATAATAGAAAAAAATTTATAATAGTAAGCTCATAATATAATATAGTTATATTGTGGACAAACGAACGCTCTATACATTATTTTACTGTAACTAAGTAAAGAGCTTCGGACGGACGGATGGAATGGATGGAGAATATTATTATTGTATTCATTGCGTACGATAAGTAGTATTACGATTGAATAATGTGTGTAATTTTATAAACACACTTATATGATCGTAATATGTCTACATATCGAGACCACCGCGTGTACATTAAAAATCTATTAATTTCCGTCAAAATAGAATCGTCGTTATAATAATAATAATAATAATTTAAAAACATAAAACATACATACACGCCTGACACACTCTAATGCTAGTAGTACTCGAGCCCCGCGTTCTAGCATTCCGCGCTGCGACGGAGTGCGTAGTACGCCCTCCGTTCGGTTTCTTCTTTTCGGAGACGTAGAATAACGTAGGTAATTCTCACGTAGACGCGTAGGTCGATCAATCTGAAAGATGTTTTATTTGTTATATTAAAAGATATATTGTATTGTTATAGTTCGAAGGAAAAATCATCATAATATCAACCCACCGATGCGTCGGTCCGCCGTCCATGTGCGGTCGCTTAGTGTTTTACGAGGCTCGACTTGGAGGTCCTCGAAATCGTGTCAAATTTTCGATGTCCCCGGTGCGCGTCAGCACCACGTCGGCGAGTATTCTTCGCCTTCGATCTGTCGATAAATCGAAACGTTTTAATATTGTCTTATAGAGAAAAATAACTTTTAAACTGGACCCGAGGTACGCGACTAGCACCTCGACGATTTTAAACGTCCTCGGCGACCTAGCGTCGCATCCGAACGTCTCGTTGGGCCTCTGGGTACGTGGACAGGTTCAAAATTAAACGAAACTAGGGTTCAGCGATTCGATCGGGTCTCGAAATAACATATAAAACATAATTAACGGGATACGTGTTAGTGAAAAGTTTTAAGTGTTCGTACGAGAAAATGTCTAGCGACATCGCGGCTCTCCTTACGGTATTGCTCGTACCCTTACTGCCACTAGCGACCTCTACGCCGGCGCGTACACGTATCCCCACGTACATACTCGCTAGCTCGTCGCTATCACTATACTAGTACAGTGTTCTCGTCGTGACTCTCGCGTGCAGTTAAGTTAGTTTTGTGTGTGTGTGTGTGTGTGCTCTGTGTGCGTTTTGTACACGATTATTATATCAACTATAAATATAATAAACAGAAGAAGAAAAATGGCCGATACCGCAGTCGCATCCGAAGCCCCCGCCCCGGCGACGCCCGCGAAGAAACCAAAGGCGTCCGCGGCGGCCGCAGGCGGCGCCGCCGCCAAGAAGCCTAAGGCGAAGCCGACGCACCCGAAGACCTCGGAGATGGTGAACAGCGCCATCAAAGAGCTGAAGGAGCGCAGCGGATCCTCCCTGCAAGCGATCAAGAAATATATAGCCGCTCAGTACAAGGTGGACGCCGAGAAACTGGCGCCGTTCATAAGGAAGTATCTGAAGAGCGCCGTCGAATCCGGCGCCCTCATACAGACCAAAGGTAAGGGCGCATCGGGTAGTTTCAAACTGGAGTCTAAATCGTCCGCGTCCAAGAGCAAGCAGTCTGCGGCCGGCGGTAAGGCCGCCTCAGCTGCTGCGGCCGGCGGCGCCGCTTCCGGTGCTAAATCTAAGAAGGCGTCCGCCGCTTCGGCCGGCGCCAGGGGCGGCAAGAAGGCTGCCGCCGCTTCGCCGTCGAAGGCGAAACCGAAGGCTACCATAAAGGACAAGAAGGCCGCCGCGGCCAAGAAGAAGCCGGCGGCCGCCTCCGCGGCGGCCAAGAAGGCAGCCGCCGCCGCTTCCGCGTCCGCGGCGTCCTCCAAGGCGAAGGCGGGAGCCGCCTCCAAGGCGAAGAAGACCGCCAAGCCGCCGACCAAGAAACCTAAAGCCCCCAAACCGAAGAAGGCCGCCGCCGCCGCGACGCCCAGGTCGAAGCCCGCCGCCAAGAAAGCCGCCGCAGCTTCGAAGAAGTAATGTATCCTCGCATCACACACGCTTCGTAAAATCTGCTGCGTGCCATCTCTCGCGACACAAGACACCGCGACGTCTCTACGCCGTCGGGAGCGTCGGAATGCAGTGTGCATAACAGCACGACAAAAAGCCCTTTTCAGGGCTAACAAATATTTCTGACAGCGTTATAATATATATTTTATAATAATAAAGTTTCAAACGATGAGACGTCACAAAAGAGCGCACCTAGCCATCGCGCGCGCACCCACAATATCCCGATTCTTTCCTTTCTTCCTTCCTTCGTCCTCCATCACACGCACACCCGGCCAGACGAACACCTGAAACACAAAGAAACGACATTTAAAGTTATAGCCATGTTTGTTGTTTCTGTTTTTTTATTTATTTGTTTTTCTTCACAAATTAAATGATTAAAGTTAATATATACATAGGTATAGAAAAGTAAGTACCTTTAGGACTTTAAAAAATAATATATATTCAAATATCATCTAAATCGGTTCAGCGGATATAAGCGTGAAAAGGTAACAGACGGACAGACAGCGTTATTTTCGCCTAAATTATAATATTATTGCCTAAATTATAAGATAAAAATAATTATTATATAAATATCCCGGTCAATAAGGCCCTTAAGGTTGACATATAATATACATAATTTATTATTGTATATAAATAAAAAATCTCAAATAACTTTCGGCCCCCGTAGACTCTCTCATCGTCTTGCGGACCGTGTCGTGTAAGTTCGTCCCATTCCGTACTAGCTCTCGTTCAATCGCTTACTCGCTCGCATCCCCACCTACTGTCGATGCTCGCGATGTACTATTTAAATGCGTGAACTAGCTATTTCATATCGCATACCGTGCAGAACTACGTTATACGCTGGTCGCGTGTATTATTACGCCTACAACTTTTCGAAACTACTCTCCATCCTATCATCATGTCTGGACGCGGCAAAGGTGGCAAAGTGAAGGGAAAGGCAAAGTCTCGTTCGAACCGTGCCGGACTCCAGTTCCCCGTGGGACGTATCCACAGGCTTTTGAGGAAGGGAAATTACGCCGAGCGCGTCGGTGCCGGCGCACCGGTGTACCTTGCGGCCGTCATGGAGTATCTGGCCGCCGAAGTCCTAGAGTTGGCCGGTAACGCGGCGCGAGACAACAAGAAGACCAGAATCATCCCTAGACATCTCCAGCTGGCGATACGCAACGACGAGGAGCTGAACAAGCTGCTCTCCGGCGTGACAATCGCACAGGGCGGTGTCCTGCCTAACATACAGGCGGTCCTCCTCCCCAAGAAGACAGAGAAGAAAGCCTGAGAAGCCTCTTGTGTTGTGTGACTATGGTGCGACGATAGTGTGTCTCGTGTGTAACTAGGATCGCAGCATATCATCATATCACATTCGTACGCGAATCATCGTACTACGAAAATTAAAAAGGCCCTTTTCAGGGCCACAAAATATTTCTATACATTACGAACAAAGCCAGTTTCATTAACAACTACGTCTAAATGTATTTACAATAAATGTTCTTACTAACAGTATTGAAAAACTAAAAATTGGTATAATATTATTATAAAACACGTTTCGATTTGGAAACGATAATATAATATATGCGTAGAAAAATTTTTTTTATAATATATTATTAAAGAATTTAAAGAAAGAAAAGAAAAAAAACGAATAAGAAAAATAAGCACGAGAGATAGAGGGACACCGACGCCATCCATATTTCCATCGTATACGCATAATTCTAACTAGATAATAGATATTCTACACATACATTATTAGAAATATAATAATTCTAATAATATTTAATACATTCAATGAAAACTTACAAGAAAAAATCCAACATTTATCGCAGAGAAGGCAAAACTTTCACACACACCACGCACACGAACTCCATTTTGGAACAACTAATTGGCGCCAAAAATTGGCTTGGGTTATGTGTCTTTTTTTTTTTTTTTCTCCCTTACAACATATAGGGCAGCATTTTCAGCGTATTATGAATAATTGTTGTAAATATGAAATCTCATTCTTATTAGATTTATTATGTTAAAATAAGTGTGTGTGTGTGTAAGGTGTGTGTGTGAGTATTTTGTGTGTGTTTGAATCATGTAAGACTATTTAACATTAATTTGAAAGGAATAGTCGTGTGTGTCGTGTTAGGTCGTGTGTGTACGTTGAAAATGAGATTTTTTGTTTCTTGCAATAGCATAATAGTTTATGTTTTTAAATAATAGATTTTATTATAAAACTTATAATAAAACAAGAATTAGGTCGATAGGACTATCCGTTCAAAAGTTATAAGGGAAAATGTATAGTAAAAATGTAGCAACCTAGAAATTTAGATATTTTTGTTTTAAGACTTTTTTAATTAATTATTATATATTGAATATTATGTTTTAATATTTTTTAATAGTATGTAGCATGTAAATGTAAATAAATATGTGTAAGGTGTTTTACTGAAAACATAAAATAAAAGGACTCTCAAGGTTTCGGTTTAGGGAAATTTTTTCGAAAAATGAGCTCAAAGTACGCGGCTCTCTGTAAGGTATTAACGGGCCAAATAAAAGGCGAGCCATTTCTCGATTCGAGTCAGTCGCAAGACAGCCACCGAAGAGGCAACAACTAAAAGGAAAAGGAAGAACCGAAACCAAGAGAGAAAAAAAGGAAAAATTGTGTTTTATTTCATCGCCTCTAAGTATAGTCTCCTGTCAACGAAGAAACCCTAGTGGATCGGGACCCAAGCTACGCATTCAGGGGTGCGTGGTGGCGTACATTACCAGCGAACGGACATACTGCCGTGTACGCCAAGAACGTCTGGGAGATTGTCCCAGGTCGACCTCCGGGTACTAGACATACCCTGGTTCTGGTCGTCCGAAACAGTTGGTCCTTCGAGCCGGATCCCTGCTAGAAGAAGTTCAGAAGAAACAGAAGATTGCGTTCAAGATGCCGGTAACCAGGTCGCAGAAGGATGCCCCCTCACGTCCCGGGTCCCGTCCTTCAGATAGGGACGCGACAGATGGAACGTCGGGATCAGAAGGGGTCACGTCAGCGTCGGCGTCATCGGGAACTGCAACTACATCGAACACTTCTTCGGGTACCACGACCACGGAGGGCACCACAGTGACGGAGACTACGGTTACGACTGCAACTACGGCGGCGTCTATGGAAGGCAACAAAGAAGATGCTGCACAGAGGATGACCAGGAAGAGCCAAGAAGATGTACCTGGAAAGGATGTTCAAGGCTCCTCCAAGACCCTGAAACCGATGGGGGTCAGTCGTCGCGCCAGGTCCACGAAGACCACGAGTTCCTCGGCCAGAAGACGCGAGCTAGAAGCAAAGGAAGAGTTGGCACGCCTGGAGTTGAAGCAAGCACAGGCTGAAACTAAGCTAGCCCGTGTCAGATTGGAGATGGCACAGTGTGAAGAAGAGGACTCCGTGGATGAAGACCTGGAAGACAGAACAGCACAGGTGCAGAACTGGATCGAGACGTCTGTGCTGGAGGATGGCAACAAAGTTCAACCAGAGATGCGAGGTCCACACCCCTTGGAAGAGCCACAGAAGATGAAGCCTGAAGAGAACTCCTCAACGAGAGGAGCTACGATTGAAATTCAAGCACTGACGGCAGCATTGAAGGAAGCTCTTACCACGCGAGGACCAGCAGGACAGCCAACCTACATTCACGAGTTACCCTACTTCGACGGCAACAGCAGCGAGTGGATGGCCTTCAAGGTTGTCTATGAAGATACAGCACCGATGTTCAACAACGTCCAGAATATGGCTCGGCTAAGAAGAGCACTGAAGGGCAACGCAAGAGAAGCTATCAAGAGTCTGCTGTACTCCGAAGCCTCTCCGATGGAAGTGATTCAAGCCCTCAGAAGAAGATATGGAAGACCAGATGCACTGGTGCTGGCAGAGTTGGACAAGGTCAAAACGTTGCCGAAGATTTCTGAAAACCCAAGGGACATATGCCTCTTCGCGAGCCAGATCAGCAACAGCGTAGCGGCAATAAAAGGATTGAAGAAACCACAGTACCTGCATTCACCTGAGATGGTGAAACAAATTATTGAGAAGATGCCTACGATCCTCAAGTTCCGATGGTACGACTTCATTGAAACAACAGAAGAAGGCGAGTTCTCCGACCTAACACTGGTGTCCAAGTTCCTGAACAGAGAAGCAGACAAGTGTGGAGCCTATGCATCAACAGAAGAGAAGAGCGGGTTCAGACGGACTCATCGACAAGCAACGCATTCAACTAAGGAAAAGGACTTCAAAGAAAAGGTTTCAAGATCAGAGAAGACTTGCCCCATGTGTGAGGGTGAACACTTCCTCGTCGGGTGTCAGAAGTTCCTGAAGGCGTCTGTGCAAGATCGATGGGCAATAGTGAAGAAAAGCCGCGTTTGCTTCAAGTGTTTACAAGGGACACATCGGAAGGAGAGCTGCAAGAAGCCGTCGTGCAAGGAATGCAAGAGGTGGCATCATCATCTGCTGCACGTCGAGACAGAGAAAAGTTCCTCGGAAGAACAGAAGAACAAACCACAAGAAGTGGCGAGCATCATGGCATCGGTGAATGCGGTCAACAACGCAAGGGCATACCTGAAGATAATTCCGATAGAAATCTTCGGGTCAAAAGGATCAAAGAAGATATTGGCCCTCATGGATGAAGGGTCAACAGTGTCGCTGCTAGACCAGAAGGTAGCAGAAGAAATCGGCGCTCAAGGAAGAAAGGAGGAACTGGTCATCGAGACTGTTGGAGGCAGGCTGATAAGGAAGGAAGACTCTCAGATGCTTGACCTTACGGTGAAGGGGATTCATCAGAAGACCAAGAAGACCTTGAGAAGAGTCCGGACCATCGAAGAGTTGAAGCTTGCACCGCAGTTCCTAGAAAAGAAAAGGATAGAAGAGTGTCAACACTTGAAGAAGATTGCTGACTCTCTATATTATAAGGGGGAGTCACCACAGCTGCTCATCGGTCAAGACAACTGGGAGCTAATCGTGACTCAAGAAGTAAGAAGAGGGAAACCAGGACAACCAGTCGCTTCAAGAACAGGACTTGGATGGGTGCTCCACGGGTCAGACACTGGAGGCGCGAAAGTGGTGCACTTCTTAAACACGTGTCTACATGTCAGCACGCCAGAAGAAGAGATGCATCAAGCCATCAAGGATCACTTCGCAATCGAAGCACTTGGAGTACTACCAAGAAGACCCACTACGGATTCAGAAGAAAGAGCACTCACCATCCTAGAGAAGACCTGCAGAAGACTAGAAGATGGTCGATTTGAAGCTGGACTTCTATGGAAAAATGAAGATGAACAGATGCCTGAAAGCTACACGTCTGCCAAGAACCGATTGTTCAACATTGAAAAGAAGATAGACAAAGACCCTCAGCTGAAGGCAGAATACAATAAGCAGATCCAGCATCTAATCGACAGCAAGTATGCAGAAGAAGCACCTGGTGGACAAGAAGATTCAAAGAAGACATGGTACCTCCCTCATTTCTCCGTGGTACATCCATTGAAGAAGAAAATAAGGATCGTCTTCGACGCTGCAGCCAAGTCTAAAGGGAGAAGCCTCAACGACGCTTTACTACCGGGACCAGACCTACTGCAATCGCTCTTCGGGGTATTACTGAGGTTCCGGCAAGGCCCGTTTGCAGTGGCAGCCGACATAAAGGAAATGTTCCTGCAAGTTCGCATCCGGCCAGAAGATAGAAACAGCTTGAAGTTCCTGTGGCGAGGGGATCGTCGTGACGTAGCACCGAAGGAGTACAGAATGACATCAGTCATCTTCGGCGCGACATCATCTCCTAGCACAGCGATCTACGTGAAGAACCGGAACGCGGCGGACTACAAGAAGCAGTACCCAGAGGCAGCAAAGGCAATCGAGCTGAACCATTACATGGATGACTACCTGCACAGCTTCCATTCAGAAGAGGACTTCAAGAGAATTACAGCGCAGGTGGACTTCATTCACAAAAAGGCGGGCTTCGAACTCCGAGGATGGGCGTCAAACCACTCCGACCTGCTGCAAGACGTGAAGACTGAGTCAGTTGAGAAGACAGAGGTGGACCTTGGTGAGAAGGAAGAGAAGACACTGGGACTACGCTGGTTTACAGAAAGGGACTCCATAGGCTTTAGGGCGAACCTTCGGAACACGCCAGATGAAGTGGCACAAGGACTCAAGGTACCTACGAAGAGAGAAGTCACCAGCGCCGTGATGTCGACCTTCGATCCACTAGGGCTAGCATCACCAATTCTCATCCAAGGCAAAAGGCTGCTCCAGAACATATGGCGAAGTGGCGTCGGTTGGGATGAAGAGATAGAAGAAAAGGAGTACGAGTCATGGAAGACTTACCTGGAGAAGATGAAGCTGCTCCAAGACCTTCAGATCCCGAGATGTCTGGCACCACGTCGCACCGAGGGGGAGCTGCACACGTTCACGGATGCAAGCGAAATGGCGTATGCAGCTACGGTATATTGGAGAACTGAAAATCAAAATGGGACTTATGACGTCAGCTTAGTAGCAGCAAAAGTAAGAGTCGCTCCGTTGAAGCCGGTGTCAATCCCGAGACTCGAGCTGCAAGCGGCCCTCCTAGGAAGCAGATTGGCACACTCGGTCGAGGAAGAAATGGATCTGAAAATAGAAAAGAAGACGTTTTGGACAGACTCCAGTATCGTGCTATCATGGATCAAGACGGACCCGAGAACCTTCAAGACATTCGTGGCTCATCGCTTGGCGGAGATAGAAGATCTCACAAAACCACAGGACTGGAGATGGGTACCGACGGCGCAGAACCCTGCAGATGATGCAACACGTGACGTACCAGAACACTTCGACTGCCAACACCGATGGTACACCGGACCAGGGTTTCTAAGAAGAGATGAAGTTCACTGGCCTGCGGCAAGAACATTCAAGAAAGAAACCACTGGCGAAGAAAAGGCAGCGGACATCGTAGCGACTGCAGGCAGCTCCTATCCATCACCAGATCCCGAAAAGTTCTCGTCGTGGAAAAGACTTTGGCGAGCTACAGCAAGAGTACTGCAGTTCATACAACTCTGCAGAAGAAAGGAAAAGGTCCACGCCAGCAAAGAAGATCCTACCTGGAAAACTACAAAAAGGAATAAGAAAATTGTTGAGAAGCGACATCTGTCTTCAAAAACGTCAGAAAGGAAATACATACCATTGGAAACAAGTCTACTAGAGCAAGCTGAAACGCTGTTGTTAAGAAGAAGTCAAGAGAAATGCTTCAAAGAGGACATCAGGTGCCTACAGCAAGGAAAACAATTAGAGGGCAGCAGCAAGTTGAAAAGGCTCGACGTAGTGCTAGAAGAAGGTCTCCTGCGACTGAAAGGAAGAATCGACGCGATACGAGGGGTTACCAGAGACTACAAACGACCCATCGTACTCGACAGCAAGGACAAGACAACACTTCTCATCATAGAAGAATTTCACTGCCGCTTCAATCACGGGAATCACGCGACCGTAATGAACGAAGTAAGACAACGCTTCTGGGTGCTAGGACTGAGGTCAGCGATCAAGACCATTCAACATCAATGCCAGTGGTGCAAAACAAGAAAGGCAAGACCTCAAGAACTACCAGTGGGCAACTTACCTGCTGAGAGGCTGATGCACGGAAACCCTCCATTTACGTGCACGGGAATAGATTACTTCGGCCCTATGACGATCACCGTAGCAAGACGCCATGAGAAGAGATGGGGTGCTCTATTCACATGCTTAACAACACGAGCTGTACACATTGAGCTCACTCCTTCACTCTCCACTGACAGCATGATCATGGCACTACGACGATTCGCCGCGAGAAGGGGAATGCCAAAGATAATCTACACCGACAATGGCACTAACTTCGTTGGCGCCAACAAAGAACTCAAAGAAGCACTAGACACCATGAAGCAAGAAGACCTTATCTCGGAAGCGGAGAAGATCGGTGTGCAGTGGAAGTTCATACCTCCTGGTGCACCAAACATGGGAGGTGCATGGGAGCGTCTGGTGCGATCCATTAAAACCGCACTGGACGCCACGCTCAACGAAAGGCAACCACGAGAGGAGGTACTTCATACCCTCCTGTTAGAGGCCGAGCACATAGTCAACTCTCGGCCCCTCACCCACCTCTCCGAGAACCCTGAAGAAGAAGCACTTACACCGAACCACTTTCTCATCGGGCGATCATGTGGCGCAGCAAGAATCGGCAGCTTCGAGGACAACGAGCTTGTGGGCAGACACACCTGGAAGGCTACGCAGCGACTTGCCGATCACTTCTGGCAACGTTGGCTGAGAGAGTATTTGCCCACTCTACTACCAAGGAAGACCAAAGGAAGAGTCAGCGCCACAGATTTGCAAGTCGGAGACATCGTACTGATCGTCGATCACAGCCTACCAAGATGCATCTGGCCACGCGGAAGAATCCTGCATGTGTATCCTGGACCAGACGGGCGGACCAGAGTCGTCGACGTCGAGACCAGAGGAGGTGTTCTACGGAGGCCCAGTTCGAGAGTGGTGCTGTTGGTGCCGGGAGCGTCGCCGAGTCCAGGAGTTGGTGCAAAGCACGAGGGGGAGAATGTCGGCGACGGAAAACTTATCTTCGAGTAACGTGTGTATTAATATAGGGACAATGTCATTTTAGCGTATTATGAATAATTGTTGTAAATATGAAATCTCATTCTTATTAGATTTATTATGTTAAAATAAGTTCTAATTAGTGTAATAAGGTTAGTTTAGAGTATTTTTTGCTTATTTGAATCATATAAGACTATTTAACATTAATTTGAAAGGAATAGGTACGTAAGTAAAATGTTAGCATATAATTACGTAACTTGAAAATGAGATTTTTTGTTTCTTGCAATAGCATAATAGTTTATGTTTTAAATAATAGATTTTATTATAAAACTTATAATAAAACAAGAATTAGGTCGATAGGACTATCCGTTCAAAAGTTATAAGGGAAAATGTATAGTAAAAATGTAGCAACCTAGAAATTTAGATATTTTTGTTTTAAGACTTTTTTAATTAATTATTATATATTGAATATTATGTTTTAATATTGTATAATAGTATGTAAGGCATGTAAATAAATAAATATGTGTAAGGTGTTTTACTGAAAACATAAAATAAAAGGACTCTCAAGGTTTCGGTTTAGGGAAATTTTACTCGAAAAATGAGCTCAAAGTACGCGGCTCTCTGTAAGGTATTAACGGGCCAAATAAAAGGCGAGCCATTTCTCGATTCGAGTCAGTCGCAAGACAGCCACCGAAGAGGCAACAACTAAAAGGAAAAGGAAGAACCGAAACCAAGAGAGAAAAAAGGAAAAATTGTGTTTTATTTCATCGCCTCTAAGTATAGTCTCCTGTCAACGAAGAAACCCTAGTGGATCGGGACCCAAGCTACGCATTCAGGGGTGCGTGGTGGCGTACATTACCAGCGAACGGACATACTGCCGTGTACGCCAAGAACGTCTGGGAGATTGTCCCAGGTCGACCTCCGGGTACTAGACATACCCTGGTTCTGGTCGTCCGAAACAATGTGTGACGTGTGTTTCATGTGTGTCGTGTGTGTCGTGTGTGTCGTGTGTTTCATGTGTGTCATGTGTGACGTGTGTGTCGTGTGTTTCATGTGTGACGTGTGTGTCGTGTGTGTCGTGTGTTTCATGTGTGTCGTGTGTGTGTCGTGTGTGTCGTGTGTTTCATGTGTGTCGTGTGTGTCGTGTGTTTCATGTGTGTCGTGTGTGTCATGTGTGACGTGTGTGTCGTGTGTTTCATGTGTGTCGTGTGTGTCGTGTGTTTCATGTGTGTCATGTGTGACGTGTGTGTCGTGTGTTTCATGTGTGACGTGTGTGTCGTGTGTGTCGTGTGTTTCATGTGTGTCGTGTGTGTGTCGTGTGTCATGTGTGTCGTGTGTGTCGTGTGTCATGTGTGTCGTGTGTGTCGTGTGTCATGTGTGTCGTGTGAGTCTGCTGGTAATGTTAAAATAATACACTTTTTTTTTTCAATAAGATACTTTTTTTTAATGCGTTTTATATACAAATTTGAAGAGTGTGTAATGTTAAAATAACGGAAATTTTTCTTTTTTTTTTTTAAATGCATATATGAAACTGTTTAAAATCTTTGTCTGTCTGTCTGTCCGTCCGTCCATCTGTCCGTTTATTCCGGCTCATCTCCTAAACTAATAATGTAAATAAAATGTAATATATGTAAATATTATAAAAAATCTATACACATAATATAGTTGTAACTAAGCCGAATCTGTACATTAAATATTTTTCGTAAAATTTAATTAATAGATATTATTATCGATACAGAGGCTGAATATATATAAATATATATATATATATATATATATATATATATTTTTTTAAATTTTCGTCCATCCGTCTGTCTGTGTGTGACCCCGCATCAGGGAAAAACGACAGAAGGGATGGATTTTGATGAAATTTGGTATGGTGATATAGGTGATTGTTCGGGTCAACTTATAGGATAGAAAACATCTAATATCTGAGAAATGTATATTAACGGTGCGAGGGGTACGGGCGGCAGCACCGAACTACCGTGCCCCCCCCCGCTCTCTCCCCCCGGCCAACTCCCGTATAAAACTCGGGGCGCTTCTATTGGTCCGAATAATAAGTACACTGGTGCGCGTTCCGGCCGTTTACGCGTCGATAATAAGAATGTATACTGCGCGCGCGACCGGTAGGCATCATTTCAGTTCGCACCCTCGAACCGAACGTACGTACTCATCGACAATGCCACCCAAGACTAGCGGAAAGGCGGCGAAGAAGTCGGGCAAGGCCCAAAAGAACATCTCCAAGTCCGATAAGAAAAAGAAGAAGCACAAGAGGAAGGAGAGCTACGCCATCTACATCTACAAAGTGCTCAAGCAGGTCCATCCGGACACCGGTATCTCCAGTAAGGCGATGTCGATCATGAACTCTTTCGTGAACGACATCTTCGAGCGCATCGCCGCCGAGGCGTCTCGCCTGGCCCACTACAACAAGAGGTCCACGATCACGTCCAGGGAGGTGCAGACCTCCGTGAGGCTCCTGCTCCCCGGTGAGTTGGCGAAGCACGCGGTCAGCGAAGGCACCAAAGCGGTCACCAAATACACCAGCTCGAAGTAAATGGTCGTGTCGTCGTCATTGTACGTGCGCGCATCATTTCTTTACAAAAAGGCCCTTTTCAGGGCCACAAAACAATTCATATTTTGTACAGTTTCACGAACACGTCTCTCCCTCTCCTGACTCATCATAAATGGGCATATAATATATTATTCTTTTTGTTCGTTATGAAATTGATTATGACGATGATAATAATAATGATATTCCAAAAACATTGATCGTTTACATGTTGACGTGAATCAATGATAAACAATATTATTAGAGGGATTTTAGGAATAATCATTATCGTTAGGTAATTACTTAAAATGCCGCGCGCGCGCACGCACTAGCCCCTAATGACCCAAACATAATATTATTATCATTCCCTCCACGAAAATATATATGATTAAAGTACCTACAATAAATAGCAGATGATAAAAATGTCGAAAGTAAATATAATACACCAAAAATTAGCAATCAAACACAAACTCATCCCAGAGACACATACACACTATATACTTATACAAATACACACCAAATTCCGTTCTCGAAAATACAAATTACAGACCGTGCTATACTGACAGACAAAAAGAAAACCATCCATTACAATAGACCGGATGTTACGCTCCAAGATAAAGTAAATAATATAGTGTATACATATTATAGATATAGCCGTACCTAATAATCACAATTTCATTAAAACACGACGACACAACCGAAAAATTCCACACATATCACCAAACTCATACATACATTAAGTAATATACAAAAACCGGCAATCAATCAATTTTAAATACATGCATGCATACATCGTTCGAAAATTCACGCACAGGCGGCAGACACTGATCTGTATCTTATCACACACACCGAGCCCGCCCGCGCCCGACTGCCCGACTCCGATTTTTATTTTATTATTATTATTTTTTTCTCTCTTTTCCTAAAGAAATCTCTCCTAAATAATTAACTTACTGTATAATTATTATTTCTACAACATACAATCATACATACATACATACATATCCGCACGTATTCGTTCGTTCGTTCGTTCGTAACATTTCGGTATTCTCGCGCCCTAGAACGAGACGGAGATATATATAGAGCTCTATAAAGAGGCGATCTCTGCATGTTTTATAAGTATTCGTACCCCGACCGTCGTGACGAGCGTGTAGTGCGTACCGTACGTAACTGATAACCGATTTCAAACTATTCGTGTAGTGTCAGCGAGTGAGAGATGGCCCGTACAAAGCAGACTGCCCGTAAATCTACCGGTGGCAAGGCGCCCCGTAAACAGCTCGCCACTAAGGCTGCGCGTAAGAGCGCACCGGCCACCGGCGGAGTCAAGAAGCCGCACAGATACAGGCCCGGAACCGTCGCACTCCGTGAGATCCGTCGCTACCAGAAGAGCACCGAGCTCCTCATCCGCAAGCTGCCGTTCCAGCGTCTTGTGCGCGAGATCGCCCAGGACTTCAAGACGGACTTGCGTTTCCAGAGCTCCGCCGTGATGGCCCTCCAGGAGGCCAGCGAGGCCTATCTGGTCAGTCTGTTCGAGGACACCAATCTGTGCGCGATCCACGCCAAGCGTGTCACCATCATGCCCAAGGACATTCAGCTGGCTCGCAGGATCCGCGGAGAACGCGCCTAAACGAACGCGCAACGCGATAATAATGATGATAATTCCAATGTATGCGAACGTTCGTTCGGTGAATTGTTGTTGTTATTATTGTATAAAAAGGCCCTTTTCAGGGCCACAAATTAATCTGTATTAAAATTTGGTTTCATACGTGTACACAGAGTTCGTCTTAGTTATAATATTATTACATTTTATATATATATATATATATATATATATATATATATATATATATATATATACAAACATACATACATTATGTACACAATGGAACAGAATATTGTTCAACATAATAAATGAACACAAGACCACGCCACTGGTCTACTCTCTAATCTATAGGTGCTCATATAAATAAATAATTATTATTAAAAGAATAACGTTACGTATACATACTTACTTTATTGGTTTTATATAATATGAATATGACAAAAATTCGTTACACGGAAATTATGTGTACGTTCGTCCTAACGACGCGTACACACGCTACGATAGCGGTCGAAATGAATTATTATTATTATTATATTGTATGTATAAGAAAAATAAAAGTAATATTATAACATACATACATATTTACTCAATTTTAACGGGGGATAACTTAAAACAAATGAACTAGACTTTATTATTGTAGATAAACACATACGCAGTATAAATATAAAATTATTATTATCTATATATTAAAACGAGCTATATTTTATGATGTATGATGTGAAGGTATTATTGTTCGCGATATATTTACGCGAGCATTATTATTAATACATATTTTACAATATACTACGTTTAATTTGAACAACAAGAGCATGTGCATCACCTCTTCCCCTTAACCGCTACGTCGACGAACTTTGTCGAACGTGGACGACGCAGAGTCGTATC